AAAAATATAATATTGAAAAAAAATATGAAGAAACTTATAATAATTTAAAAATTAAAGAAAATCAAATCTTAGTGTTGCAAACTGAGGTTAGTATGAGTAATGTCAATTYATGATAAAAAAATATTTACAGAAGTGTGCACACAATCATAAAGTTAAACTTTGCCCAGATTAAAGAATAATTTGTCTTCGACAATGTTTCTGATTTCCCGTAATAAGCAGTACTATAAATATTTGTAGAAAACAATGTCTGAAACAAATGTTTCTTGGCCTGGATGGAGCTTTTCATTTATATCTTAAGTGTATACTTTTACAAAATATAATAGATAATAACTTATTATTATTTATTGAACATAGTAAAAATAATCTCTCTGTGATACTACTTTATAGGTTTATTAGAATTTTCTGTGTTTAAAGATTGACCAGATAAGTTTATAGAGAAATATCTTTATTTGTAATAAACTAATAACTACTATGATGTCTAATTATAATTTTGAATGATATTAAATAAAAAAAAACTAATCTAAATTTTTATAAGTTTAGCTGAATTCTTGGAAGTTAAAGGATACAGAGAAAACCAAAAATAATAATGATCAAGAAAAAACAGATAAATCTGGTAATATATTATTTTGTACTTTAGTTTTTGTTTACATTTGAGTCAGATTAATTATTTTTATTTTTAGAAGCCCATTTATTAGCAGAAAAAAATCAAGAAATTAAAATGTTGAATTCCATAATATTAGGCTTACATAAAAAGTTATCTGCTGTTATGGAAACTGATGTTTCTGACTATGAAGTGTAAGAATATTATATTTAATTAAGCATAAGGAAATTATTTYAATGCTTTTTAGTTATTATGTTAATGAAAAAAAGTAATTGTTTAGCAATGAAAATAACATAGAAATTTATTACAATAAGATTCTAAAACAAAAGTGAATAGAAAATTGGTAGACTAGAAGTTGGCAGTTTTGATATTTTGTTGTTCAATTATTTCTTAATTAATTACTTATATCAGGTGTTCGGAATATTCACTAAAAAATTGAATTCATTCGCATTCATGTATTTTTTTTTTTTAACGGATGCGTTCATTGAAAATAATGAAAAAGTTCATTTGGTCATTCAATTTATATTTTTTACTATGAAATTGTTTACCAGCAGTTGGTATGAAAACCCATGAACCTATAGGACTTAACCCAAAAATTAAAACACAATTTAGACTTAAGAGCATATTTATTTTCTAAATTATATTAAATATTACATATATACTTATAAAATAGTAAATCATTTGAATGTCTWAAAAATCATTCAAATTCATTAAAAATATAAATGTCATTCAAGTTCATGTTCTATTTGTAAAAACAAATGATATTCGCGTATCATTCACTAACTATGAAGTTGAACGTATGAATGTGCGTTCGTGAACAACGTTCTTTCCAAACACTGCTAATATCATTGATTAATAATAAGTTAATGATTATGTATAGTTTATCAATATAAATAAATTAATTAATGCTAATATATTAATAATTTTCTCTTCATTTAGTGAGAAAAATCCTCAAAGTGTTTCAAAAGAAGATTATCAAAAGTTATACAAAACAGCTAAGAACAATGTTAAACTAAAGGAGTGTGAAAATTTATCATTGAAACAAGAGGTTGGTTTGAATAACATAATAAATATTTATTATTAATTATAAATTATTTAGATATTTTTAGCTGAATAATTTGAAATTTGTCTTTCAGATTAATAAACTAAAAACCGAAAATGAACGTTATTCCGAGTTTAAAACGAAATGTGAAATTTTAGAAAATGATAAGAAATCACTTCAAAAATTGATAGTTAGTTATGATAGCTCAATCCCAACAAATGTTAAAAGTGAAAAAAGTGGTACTAAATCTGGTTTGTAATTCTAATATTTAAAATGAAAAAAAAAAATGTATTTATTTTGTTTTATAAATTATCATGGATTGTAAAATTTGTTTGTTTAGAAACAGAAAAAATACTAGAGGAAAAAGACTGGCAAATAAATTTGTTAAATAATATAATTGCTGATCTTCATGCCAAAGTGTCTGATAATAAATTTAAAATTGAAGCACTAGAAGCCCAAATTTTGGACTCTGGAGTGTAAGTATCCAAAATATTTAAATTATAATTAAATTTTAATCTATTCTATATTGAAGTTTGAGGTTTCCAAGCAGTGATTCACATTGGACAACGAGCCTATTAAGTGTTTTTTAAATGGGTATATAGGGAATCCATTTAGTGGATAAACTAATTATCTCGAAAAGTGTAAACTTTTTTTGAATTTTTATTTTTAAACTTTAGGTTTATGTTTTTCTAATACGGTTTATTTTGATTATTTTCACCTTTATATTCATTGGTGAAACCATTATCAACATTTGATTGTCAAATGGTCACATATAATTAAAATATCATGAATTTACGTGTTAACATTTTTATTTTTTGTTGATTAGTTTGTGAGTTACAGTTCTTCAAAATATTGGTGGTTTTTACTATTTTTCAAATAATTGTAAAGACCAGGAGCTAGTGATGAATTTGATATCGCTGAATCCTAGGTAACAAAATAAATTCAATTAATACAATTGGTCGATAAGTTAATAAATGATTAGGATTAGTACAATAGTAGTTTTTAATTAATTTGTATTTATTTTGTTACCTTGGATTCAGTGATATTGAATTTATCACCAGCTCTCTGGTCTTTACAATTATTGGAAAAATAATAAAAAACCACTAATACTTTAAGGAGCTATATCTCACAAATCAATCAACAAAAAATAAAAATGTTAACGGGTAAATTCATGAAAAAAATTGTTTTTATTAATTCATGATATTTTAATTATATATTACCATTTGAAAATCAAAAGTTGATGGTGGTTTTGCCAATA